AGCAGAAGAGGGAGAGGAGGAGGAGGAGGAGGAGGAGGTTCACGATCACCCTTGGCATTGACATGTCGCCTTTCGCCGGCGTGCTAGCGGAGGGGGAGGGAGTCCTCATGATATTCCGATTTTTCGCCACAAAGGGAATCCTGTTGTAGAGGCATTCGAAATGTGGAGGCCACTGCAGATCCCAATAATCAAAGTCCGTTTGTAAGGTCCAACAAAAAAATCAGTTGTAAAGGTTGTTACACAAGTCTTTACATATGTGGGATCTGCACCGTAAAAATCACGTCAGTCACAGGGTTGCCTAGATTTTCCTACTTTCCATCTGACAGTATGCGTGTGTGTTTGCATGTTGTTCCTGATGTTCACGTTTTACTCCTTAGCTTTCCTGGGCCCAAGGTGCCGCCACTGCAGATCCCCACACTTGAAACTCTTCCGCATCACAAGGAATCCCTTTTTATACCAGCTGCTAGACGAGGATTCATTTGTGCAAACCATTGCAGATCCCCCACGATAAAAATCCGTTATGATGAAAGAGCGCCACAAAAAAAATTATGTTTGTAAAGGCTGCCACTTACAAAAAAAAAAAAAAAAAAAAAAAAAAACTTCAAGTGTGGAGGCCACTGCAGATCCCCTACAAGTTAAGCCGTTATGCAAGATCGCCACGAAAGGACAGTTTGTTTTGTAAAAGGCGGTGATGAATTTCTCTGGCTTACAAGCCTAAGTTGCACATTGTTGCACAGCCGTTACAAAAATGAACATTAAGCACGGCCGCCATAGGCGATGGCAATGAGAATGGCGGCGATGGTAATGGCGATGACGATGCCGATGAAAATGACGCTTGATGGTGAGAATATATCAAAACATCCCTGCTGCAATCGCACCAGGCACCTCCCCACCCCTCGGCTTCCCAGAGGGGGGAGGGGGGGCAATTTTTCCAATCAAGCGACGGTGGATCGCGCTCGCCTAATTCTTTTGTCAATCTCAGGCGCCCTGGGATACACCCGCGCCTGCTGGAAATATTAAAGTCCCCGAGCAAGACCACTGAAACTTTCTGAGGCACTGTCTCGGCAATGAGACGATCCGAACGTATCTTAGACACTGACTTCTCTCTATCGCATCACCCGACAAGTCGAAGTTGCGCGCGTTGCAGATCACCGCGCCGCTAGCCGCCCCGATCGGCACCACCCCACATCTACCAGACCAAGTATCCGCAGCCACTGAATACGACCAAGAGCAATTTCCCCGCGCAAACTTGGCACGCTCGCGCACTGCGGGGCCACGCGGAAAGACGATAGCCACCCCACCAGCATCCCTCTGAGGAAGGAACGAAGAGAACGCCACGTTCTGAAGACGCCGTCTGCGCGCGGCCTGCTGCAGCTCGAGCTGATACGCATGCACTTCCCGAACCACCATCGCCGCGCCTCTGCAAAACAAGCATGCCAAACACTGCAACTCGCGCCCCCTGACTTCATTAGCCCGCCGTCGCGACGGAGAAGAGCCCGAGCGTTTCACGCGTCAAAACCCAGCGGGCACTTTGACTTCGCTTCTGACCTCCGGCACGCCATACGTTTGCGAAATAGACGACGGGCCCCGATCGGCCCCGCCCCGCAGCTCTCCGAAGCGTTCCCGATATCTTGCCTGCCTAAGCCAGCGCCAGACACAGGCCGATACCCCCAGTGTAAAATCGAAGGAAACAAAGATTCATCCGGAACCACAATCTTTACTGCCGGCGTCGCTCCTCCGCGCAGAACTCCTTACGCTGCGTTTGCCGTCCACCTCCCTTGAGCGGCCATCCTCTCGATGGGCCCCAGCATGCTCTTCGCCTGGATCCCTTGCCAACTAGATTGGCAATTTCTGCCCAGAGTAACAAAGGCATCAGCAGGAGGGCTGCAACTAGAAACTGCCGAGAACTTTCACCAACTGCCACCCGTAAGTCTGAAATTCTTCTGCCCGTGAACGACGCGATTAGCTGCCAACCCTTCAGATCCAGAAAATGCGATAACGGAACGTCGTCCTGGACTTCTCCCCCATGTTCCACAACTTCTCCTTGAATCCTGAGTCCACCAACCACGGGGAGACCACTGCCTTAAGCGCGTCCGAGGCAATCGGTTCCTTCGCGTCGGCCAAAATGACGGCGCGGTTGACCTCGCGCGCGGAGTTAGCCACTTCCGAGAAGTCGACGTCAGGGATGCCCTGCTCGCATTGGTGAACCATATTCTGCAGCTGTTCGAGCTGGAACTGCATTTGCTTCTGCGAAGTCGCCATCTGAACATGCCTCTCGTTCAGTTCGCGCAACTGTAGGTCAACCTCATCGTTTCTAGTTTCATGTTCGTTTCGAAAGTATTGCGACGCGTTGGAAGTACTGTTGAGAATGTCGCTGGCCATCTTGGCCGCGGACGCGTCGACAACTCTGGCATGTCTTTATTGAGCTCTGCAAGAATATCATCGAGTTCCCCTCGACGCACCACTTCACTTGGATCGGCAAGCGTCGTCGGATGGACTTGCTCGGCCCAAGGGTCACCAGTTCCTTGCAGAGGACCCCGAAGATTATGAGCATCACGGAGATTCGCCGCTTCAGAACCTAGCGCCTCCGCCCCGCGAATACTCGTTCCACTTCCGCTCCTCCCGGTAGATCCTTCATCCGCGTCGAGGTAGCAATGCGAGGGCTGACGCGCCTGAGCTTGGGACATTTCCTTTTCCCTGCGTTCAGAACGCCTCCGAACGGCACCATTCCCACCAACAGCAGAAGAAGAGTTATCATGCATGAGTGTCGAGAGGGACAGTCGGACGGCACCAAGGTGCGAGGGATGAGACCTCACTAAACCTGCGGCAACAGACGCGAGCACCAAGAAAGAACACCCTAGCACGTGGGAGCACCGGATGAAAGCGGCGCGATGCTGTGCCCCCACATACATTCCTGAGCGATGCACTCCAGATTTGAGCCGACATGGCTCGGACATATATATATATATATATATACACACACACGTAAATGTGCAGATATACAAATATTATGAACAGTGGATGTACCAAAAGCCAGGGGCATTCAGTCCTGCGATCCACTGCGACACAAAACCAGGAGCAAAACACCATGTCTGCTGCGCCGCCAAATCCCGCAAAATCGGCATGAATGCAACATTCGAATTCGCACTAGCAGCCATCAGTCGGTACCGCAAGCAACGGCTGATCCTGGAATTCAGAGTGCACTGGCTTCGCCATCCGCAGAAAACACATAACAATGAAACATCAGTGTCGTCTAGCTTCCTCGCTTCCTGCGGAGGGCCTCGGAGGAAAAAGAAGGGAAAGAAGAAAAAAAAAAAAAACTAGGTTGATTTGGACGCGGACTGACGCCCAGCCTCAGCTACTGGAGGAATCGAGAAAGGAATGACCTTAACAGAAAGCAGCGCCGTCAACAAGCACCTGCTCCGAGACGGGCGCGATCACACCTGAACCCACCTCATTATTATTGGGGCGCGCCTTTTTCTTATTATTCTTCCCTGGGGCTCCAGCCGTAGCACCAGCCGCTGCTGAGGGGAGAGAAAAAGACGACGACCAGACATCTTACTCGACAGGATCACTGCCACTGAACTGGCGCGTCAAGGACACCGCCGCTGTGGGCTGACCTGCCAGGGCCAGACGCAAGGACATCACCACTATAGGCGGGCATGTCCACGGCCACAGCTCCGAGATTTGACTCTGGACCACGGCCACCACGGGCTGACGTGCCAGTCTTCCCGAGAGACACCGCCACTGCGGGCTGACCATGTCGGGGGCTGCAACCCCCCGCCACGAACTCTGGGACCGGGCCCGTCGCCGGTGTAGAAGGTCTCTTCACCTCCGAAGCGGCGTGCACGGGAATCTCGTTCCAGCCGGCGAAGCCAAGGGTGCTAATAGCGTTACCTGAGCATTTTCTTAGGGTGGAGGGCTCAGGGTGAAATCCATAGGGGCTTCTGCATCTCGAAAACCAACCCGTCTTGTGATTCACCTCTAGCAGACTCAAACCTCGAAAATCAATCGAAACGGCATTTCAGATTTCGTTACTGGGGCAGGCGGCTGAGGAGACCACCACCAAATCGCCAAAGCAGTGACCTCGACCCTGTCGACTGCTTGTTCCTGCCCCGCCAGCTGCTCCTCCATGATGTGCCGGAGAATCATCTGACAGTCGCTCAGCATGTGCGTGCGGCGCCTCTCCTTGGGCGCTGGCGAAGGGTAGGTCGTAGAACTCGCCGCCTCCTCCGCCAGAGCCATGCCTGGAGGCGAAACCACCTCCTCCGCACCAGCCAGGCCGGGAGGCATACCGAAATCCCCAGGTGGGGGACGAGAAGGCGAGACCGTCGTAGCCTTTCACCCGCGGCTTCACCAGCTGGGCGGACTGAGCCTCCGAAGCCTCCTGCGCCAACACGAACAAACGCAGGCGTTCCCAACGCGGGAACTGCTTCACCGGCTCGGAGTGCTCCATCACCGCGTGCTGCCAGCAGCAAGGTGCCAGGGGCGGCGGCGGCGGCGGCGGGAGGCAGACCCTGCGCTGCGAGTTCACCGTCACAGAAAACAACGTCAAGTGAGCCGAAAGACGCTGCAAAAGCTGCAATGCACGCCCCGAGGTCGCCGTCAACGAGGTGCGCCAAAAAGTCGAGGCAGATCTCGGGACCCTTTGATACCATGCACTGGTATCCCCTTGCGTTCACTGCCGCACGCACACCCGGCGGCAGGGCTCAAAACAGCAGCACAGTGGCCATCATCCCTGGGATAGCGCGAGCACTCAAGGATCCAGGAAGCTTGCTCGAGCCCGAGCTTGAGGAAGAAGGAGGAGGAGGAGGAGGAGAGCATGACGAGGAGCAGGAAGAGGAAAGGGTAAGGAGCAGTATGAGGGAGAAGAAGAGGGGGGAGAAGGAGCATGACGAGGAAGAGGATTGGGGAGGATCTGGAAGAGAAGTAAAAGGTGAGAAGGAGGAGGACGAGGACAAGGAGGAAAAGGGGGACAAGAAACATGATGAGGAGAGCTCCTCCTCGCGGTTCCTGTCCGTGTAGAAGTGGTCGCCCGGGAACACCTCTGAGGGACCAAGCGGAGAGAAGCACGGGAGCAAGGGGCAGACGGGGGAGTCGAGAAGAGAGCAAAACATGAGTCTGGCACGACCCATGTCGGTCATAGCGACAAAAAAACTCAGAACGCGGCGGAACCAAGCGAAACCAATCAGACTGGCGCGAAACAGAGCAGAACGAAACCAAGTGAAGGAGTGCAGCAGGAGCAACAAATGCGGAGGAACAAAAGAACGCACGGCAGAGCAAAGCAAAGCGACAGCCAGAGCAGACAAAAATAAAACGAAACTGTTTTTCCCAAAAAACGAACCAGAGCATCGCAGAACAGAGCAACGCAAAGGAACAGCCTCCCCCCCTCATCATTACCACTGTCCCCCTTTATTCCCTACTCCTCCTCCTCCTCATCATCCTCCTCCTCCTTCTCCTCCTCTTCCTTCCCCTCCTCATCATCATCCCTATTTTAAATTGCCACGTATTCCTCCCGAGTTCGATCATCATCAACATCATCATCATCATCATCATCATCATCATCATCATCATCATCAGAATCCTCATCATCGTCATCATCGTCGCCATCGTCATCGTCATCGTCATCATCGTCATCATCATCACCATCGCGATCACCATCACCGTCATCATCATAATCATCAGCATCATCATCTTCATTACCATCACTATGAAATCAGCATCATCATCCTCATCGTCATCGTCATCGTCAGCGGCAACATCATCCTTATCCTCCTTCACATTCACATCTGGATTGTTCATCAATCTTCCCCTTTTCCTCCTCCCCCTCTCTACTCCCTGTCCTCCGCCTCCGCCACCTCCTTCTTCTGCTTCACTCCTCTTCCTCTTCATCCCCCTCCTCCTTCCTTACTCTTCCTGTTCCTCCTCCTCCTCTTTCTCCTCCTCCTCCTCGTACATCCTCCTCCGACTCCTCCTCCTCCATTCCTATTCTTAGTTAGTAATTCCTCCCTGCCGCACCACGAGGCCAATCGGAAGGGGGGCCAGGCGTTTCGCATGAGTTCCTCACTAATTATAAGTTTGAACTTTGAAATACTGCAACAGCTTCACGGATGGAAGGCGGGTCGTTTTCAAAATGTGGCTCTGGCCTTAGCGCCGCGTACACCCGTCTTAATTAGCCTGGCGAAGGACCCAAACATATTCAGTTGTGAATACCGCAATTGTGAATACCATCTTCGCCCGCGCTCCCTGTGGCCACGGCTTCCCGCTGGAGCCCGACATGCACAGGGACACGTTCGTGGCCGCCTTCGCGGGCGCCGAGAACGACGACGAGGACGGCGTCCCTCTGACCGAGGAGCAGAAGCAGGAGAGGGCTCTGAGAGCCTTGAGGGAGGAGGTGGCGCTGCACGTCGACAAGGCGGAGTACGACGCTCAGGCGCGGTTGTTGAAGCAGCACAACTATGGGCCCACGATCCTGGAGAGGGGTGTGCCGAAATGGCCCGAGGCCGCCATGCGAAACCTGCCACTGGCGCCTTCTGTGGAGCTCCCTGTGGGGCCATGATCCTCGTGAGGGGTGTGCCGAAATGGCCCGAGGCCGCCATGCAAACCTTGCTACTGGCGCCTTCAGTGGAGCTCCTTATGGGGCAACGATCCTCGTGAGGGGTGTGCCAAGAAACGGCCCGAGGCCGACATGCGAAACCTGCCACTGGCGCCTTCTGTGGAGCTCCCTGTGGGGCCACGATCCTCGTGAGGGGTGTGCCGAAATGGCCCGAGGCCGCCATGTGAACCCTGCCACTGGCGCCTTCGGTGGAGCTCCCTATGGGAGGACAACGATCCTCGTGAGGGGTGAGCCGAAATGGCCCGAGGCCGCCATGCGAACCCTGCTACTGGCGCCTTCGGTGGAACTCCTATGGGGCCACGACCCTCGTGAGGGGTGTACCAAAATGGCCCGAGGCGAATCCTGCTACTGGCGCCTTCGGTGGAGCTCCCTATGAGGCCACGATCCTCGTGAGGGGTGTGCCGAAATGGCCCGAGGCCGCCATGCGAAACCTGCCACTGGCGCCTGAGGTGGAGCTCCTATGGGGCCCCGAGGCCGCCATGTGAACCCTGCCACTGGCGCCTTCGGTGGAGCTCCCTATGGGGCCACGATCCTCGTAAGGGGCGTACCGAAATGGCACGAGGCCGCCATGCGAACCTTGCTACTGGCGCCTTCGGTGGAATTCCCTATGGGGCAACGGTCCTCGCGAGAGGTGAGCCGAAATGGCCCGAGGCCGCCATGCGAACCTTGCTACTGGCGCCTTCGGTGGAGCTCCTTATGGGGCAACGATCCTCGTGAGGGCGCCATGCGAACCCTGCCACTGGGCCTTCGGTGGAGCTCCCTATGGGGTCACGAAACGCTGAGCTGGGTGTGCCGAAACAGAGACATGCGGAAGGCACAGGTTTTTTCCCGCGAGCACAGCGTGGGCGAGCACCTCGCGTCCACCTGCGACTGACCTGGTTAGACCTCCGCCCCGCCTGAGGCGGCGGAGGAAGAATGTGCCTCCACGCCGCTTCCAGCGGCAGAGGCCCTGGCAGCAATCCCAATCGACTCCAGAAAATCCAATTCATGGGTTCTTGACAGCGCGACCACCTCTCCAGGCAGTCTCTCATTCTTATACGGATGCTTACCTGCCAGCAGACGATTTCGTCGAGTCTTGGCGTTGTGGTCCTTCGGGCCCTTAGGACATCCAGCAAGTAACCCACAAGCCCTGGCGCTCAAAAAGGCGCCACACTCTCGACAGAAGGTATAGTGGCCTATTCGAGACAGCTTGCGTCGCCTTGGCCCCTGCAAAGGAGCCCCGTCGACACGCGCTATCGTCTTCCACTTACCGTGGGAGGAGAAACCCTTCCTGCAAAACTTGCGAGACAACACCAGCTTGGCCTTATAGCTGTGGGCCCGTCTAGCACAACAAGCACACCTCCAAGACCCCCTATCCCACTCCAGGACGTGCCGAGACCCTGGAGGAGGCAGCACCGAACGGCGCGGCCGAGGGCCAGGGGGCTGGGGGGCATTCTGGAGACGGCCTGTGGTGTCATCAAACGTGCCTATCTTACAAGTCATGTCACCGACGAGCCCGAGAACAGCACAAACCTCCTTGAACCTAGACACCCACGTGTCACGAGTGTGAGGCGGGATGGCGTCTAGCTTGGCTCCCTCCTTCGCTTGAAGGCCGGCGCATTGATTCCCTAGGTAGTTGCACAGCTCGAGTCCCTCGAGCTGCTGGGCCTGAGCCTTTTTGGAATGCGCTTTGACCTTGACGACGACGAGGTCCCCCTCCCCCGAGAACGAATCCTCAATCGCATTCCAAATCATGTGCCATAAATCGGCATGCGGTCGCCTGGCTTGGCGGCACCAAACTGGGCCTCGCCTGAAGCCCCGAACGACTGTGGCATTATCGATCCCTACCTGCAGAGGGGCTGTGCCGTGGCGAAGAACATTCAAGAAACCATACAATTCAGCTCTAAGCACACTTTGTGCCTGCCTTACTCCTGGAACCGTGCCATGCATCGCTTTGCGTACATTACCGTGCTGGTCAACAAAGCAGAGGCCCCAACCGAACGCTTTCAACCCAGAGACCCCGACCCCCGACCCATCCGAATAGGCCAGGCCCGAGAGAAGGGGATCGTCCCCGCACTCGGGGTCCAGGGTCTCAATGCTGGGCGCGACGTCCTGGAAGGGGCCCCCCAGTGGGTGAGGCGCGAGAGCCCTGGAGAAGAGACGGGAGGAGGAGCACGGGGAGGAGGCACGGTGGATTATATCAGGATAAGATTCACCTGCAGCCTGGCGCTGCTCCTGAAAGGCTGGACACCTACAAAATCTATGGTGCTGATTTCCGATGGCGTGCCCGCACTTTTGACAACTTCGATCTTCCGAGTGGCCAGCTCTCCACACCTTGTCTTGCGTCCAAAAATCGCTGCACAGGAAAGCTAGCATAGCCGACTGCTTCTGGCCCTTTTTCTTTTTTGTCCTGACTGCTGCGCGACAAGGCTCGAGGAAGGGCTTCCGAAAGGGCATGCCTCGCTGCGTTGCCCAGTCGGTGAGCTCTTGATCCTCTAAACGAAGGTAAATATACTTGCGCAGCGTGCTGGGCGCCGATCGGCGCATGTCAAACATTTCACCAGTGTGAATGCGGATGGTGTGCCAGCTAGGCCAGGACCAGCCCAGCCTCTGCAGCGTAAGATTACAAGCAGAAGCTGGCCCTCGAACTTGGCCCCAGGGGCGATCTAGCGTCCGACTCCGTCTGGCCGCTTCGCGTGACATTTCCCTGCGCCAGGCCCTGGCCATGTCTACCTGATGCACTCCATTCCAGGCCTGCGTGGCCCACATGCATAGCGGTCTCTGCGATCCCTCGACCACAGGATCAACTTGATACGTCCAGAGTCGGAGGACTCTGTCTCGACCAATCGCACTACCGCCCAGGCTGCCCGAAACCATGACACGCATTCTGTTCAGAGAAACAGGCGAGACTCCTAAACAGCTCGACCCGTAGGTCACGGACGGGATCACCCCTTGGCGGACAACCCTGGCGAGGCGGGCCCCTTGCTTTGAGAGGGCTTTTAAGTTTGACTTGCGCTGGCATGCGCATTTAAATCGCTTCTGCATTTTCTTTCTTTTGCGAACTACGGCGCCTCCAGCGCTATCCACTCCCAGCTGTGAGCTGGTGTCGGTGATGGCAAGACCCAGGTCTTTGGCCCAAGCAGCGCAGCGATTCCGAGCCGAGGCCGCGGCGACGAGGATGTACCCTTTGCCGCGGGCACCACGGGAGACAGGGATGCGCCAGGTACCTTCAATCTCACGGATATAGAATGTGACAGCAGCCTGCAGAACATTGAGACATCGCAACGCTCCTCGGACCTGAATACTGAGATCGTCGACGAATAATTTCATCTGGAGGCGAGCCCCCCAGGCTTGATGTATTGCATCTGTGACCTGCAGCACCACCATCTTGAGTGCCCTGGTGCCACCGATCGAGCCTGCCACGACGGCCGAAAAAGTTTGAATCGACTT